GTAAAATAGATCAAAAACAATTTTGTCTTCAAATTTTAATTTCGTATTCCAAAACTCAAAATAATTTCGTCAGCATATATAGTTGTAGCAATGAAGCAATAGTCTTTAATACTGTGATTAATAACAACAAACCTGGTAATAGGCACGAATATAATAGTAGCTATGATTATAGTATTGGATATAAATATAGTCTTGAGCACGAATATGATAGTAAGCATGAATATAGTATTAGGTACAAATATGATAGTGGAGATAAATATAGTATCGGGTATGAATATGATAGTAGACATGAATATAATAATAAACACAAACAATATAGTAGTAGGTACAAACATGGTATTGGGCACGAATATGATATTAGACACGAATATAGTATTAGAAATAAAATGATACTGTGTACGAATATGAGCACGAATATGATAGTGGATATGAACAATGTGGTAGTGGCACAAACATGGTATTAGATACAAATATGATATTGAGTACAAATATAGTATTAGAAATAAAAATAATACTGTATATGAATATAAGCATGAATATGATAGTACGAATGAACATAATAGTTCAAATGAACATGATAGTCTGAATGAATATAATAGTTTGAATAAACATGATAGTACGAATAAACATAATAGTATGAATAAACATAACAGTGATGATGAACATGATAATAGAGATGAATACTGCAATTATGAACTTGAACAATATATTATTGAAGATACATATGATGAATATGAAATTGAAAAAGTTTTAATAGTTAGAATATTGCTAAAGAAAAAATTGAGAAATACGTATATCATAAAGGTGTGAATATAATTATCTACTTAAGTAATTTAATACAAGCATAAAATAACAATTTTTTTTTGGCATCTCTAATAAAGGATTTGAAACTAGGTATCTTTATGTAAAAAAATTGGGAAGTAGTAATGTTTGGTGATACATGATAGTGTATGAACACTTTAGTTATCCTTAACAAACACAAAAAAAGAACCTGCAAAATAAAAGTACATCTAAACGTGTAGGATATATCTGGCAAATAAATATTTCTTGGCCAGAAAAAAATAATCTGAATAAGCTTATTTATATTACAAAAATAATTGACAACCACAAAAATCATGAATTTAATCTACTATACTGTATTTTTCAAGAATCTTTTAAGTTAATAAAAAAATGCTTAAAGACATAGAATTTTACATAAAAAAATTGAACTGTAGCTTTCAACAAATCTGTAAGGCTTTAGAAAAAAGTTATCCAGGATATAAAATTTATATATTTGTATTACGACGAGAAATATAGCACTTTCGCCCAAAGTTATCTGATCAAACTAATGATGCAGCTTGCTTGTATAAAGAATTGTTGAAAAAAAAAGAAAATCTATATTGGTATGTGGCAGTGGACTGGGATTCTATTACTAAGTGTCTTTGCTGATTATTTTATATGACATTTGAGCAGATTGAATTCTGGTTGAAATTTAATGATATTGTTCTTAATAATTGCACAGTAGCAACAAACTATTATGAAATAGCTTTATCAATATTTTTAATTATTAACAATCATTTACATTTACGCATAGTAGTGCAAGTATTCATAGACAATGAAACAATAGAATCTCACTGGTAGATTTTTTAACATATTAAGAATACTACAAATAATACTAGTCCATATGCAATTTTTACTGATACGGATCCAGCTATTTTTACGGCAATTCATGATGAGTTTTCTATAACAAAATCTTTTCATTGTATATTTTATATTACTCAAAATCTTTTTTCAAATTTTAAAAGCTACTTTGGAAATCAATATAATAAGTTTATTCAAAATTTTTATGAAATATAAAAATTGTTATTTGAGATTATATTTGAGTATAGATAGACAAAATTGGTTAACAAATATAGTGATAACAAGGTTATTAATTATTTACAATGAGCCCTTTATTTGACCAAGCAAACTTGGGCAAAAGCTTTCATTTTAACTTTATTTATAGCTAGGATGTTCTTAACTTCTTGAGTAAAAAGCTACAATACAAAAATAAAGTGCTTAATTTTTAATTCAAATACTACACCTTTAAAGCTTGCAGATGTATTGTTAACATGTATACATAAAGAAGACAAAAGGATAGAATATTTTCTTTTTCACATTTCAGTTCCTAGAGTCATTTTATTTTTAGTAGCAGAAACGATATTACTAAATGTTTTGTCAATTGTTAAAAAAATATTTAACAGAAGAGATACAAAAAATTCAAGAAGATCAAATAATTCAAGCTTTTCATTATCATATTAACTATGTTAGTGAAAATGAATTGCATATTTATAACTCAGTAAGTAATATTGCTTATTTATAGTTAATTAAATCAAAATAAGTAATGTACTGTTTTATACGTATAATAGGTTAATCTTAAAGATCCTAATCTGTTTGATAATGAAAACCTTACCAATATAATCACAAAGGCTTCTTTTAACCTTATTGATATCAGTAATATTGTAGAAATATGGTCTGTATAATATATTATAGAAAAAAAATATACAGTACTTTGTTATTTTTTTGAATAATAGGCTTTATTTGTATTCATGCTTCAGTTTTTGCAACCATGGATTTGTCTGTTACCATTTTTTTCAACTCATATTGTGTACAAATATTGCAATATTCTATATTCAAATGGTTTATTCTCGCTGGTATAAAGAGATATATAGTAATCTTGTGAATTTTATATATCAGCAATATAATTGCACAAATCTGAACATTATAGCTATATCTAAATACTTTTT